CGAGTAACGATCAGAAATCAGAATATGGATAAGATTTGCTTCAACTAATTAAAGATGAAAGCCATGTGAATGCTTGGTTACTAGAATATATCCACGAAAATTTGTGTGACATTGAAATTAGCAACGTATTGAACGTTGCATTACTTATTTCAATATATATATATATATATATCCACTAGGTTTGACATTAGAGGACATGTGTGTGTGTTTATCTCTAATTAATAAACGAATAGTTATAATGTCTAACCTCCTGATCAATTATTGCTCTATAATCTTTATACTTATAATTGTTAGTTAGCATGTGAAAGCATGAAATTAGATTCATAATATGGCTAACATCACAAACATGAGATTTGTAAATGGATTTCTTGTTGACTCCATAATCATACTCTGAGGGTGTTTTCTTAAAAAAAAAAAAAAAAAAAAAAAAAAAAAAAAAAAAAAAACTCCTTTGACATCTAATATATCCTATTTATACATTAATCACCCACGTTTTGAAAACACAAATACTCACTTTAGCTCAAATCCTCACATAATGATAACCATAAAACATAATTTAACGAAGAACAAAAAAAGATAATTAAAGAGAACATCTAGGACATGATGAACTAATATATTTGAAGCGTGTGGTGCGGAAGAGGAGAACATTATGAAACCACGTTAGATTACCACTCCATAACTGTTAAAAAAAAATATACTATTTTACATAATAAAGCAAAAATACTATTTAATATTAATTATTTTTGGGCCTCTTTGAGAAAAATATAAATATTAAGGCATTGTTCATTTCATGACTTAAGTAATGATTCAAATCATATAATTACAGTGTCTTCTCTCGTAAAAATTTAAATTTAAATTTAATTTTTTACTATAGTGATTTTATCTTACATACACAACTCAAATCATAACTTGAATTGTGTAAATAAACGTATCTTAAATGATGTCACTTTCCACAATACAGCAGAACCACCTATGGTGCCCACGTGGAGAGGCAAGTCAATGGACATCATAATATTGCATATAAATGAATGTAGCGATGAGAAACTTATGTCAAGCAACCCATTTATCCCAATGAGATGCAGATAAGTCAAATGAAAACTTTCAAAGCCATGATATATGGTCCATTGACAATAACCAAACGAAGTGGGAGAGTTTATTTTATTTTTTATTTTTTTATTTTTTTTTTGGGTAGAGAAAAGGAAGTAGGAATTTGCCAAAGCGGTCCTTATTATATATAACGTTTTCTTCATGCGGTCCTTATTATACTGTAGATGCTGAATTTACATTATTAGCAATTAATAACACGCGGAAGGAAATATAATGTACAATGAGAAAATAAGAAGTGAATGTAATACCCAAAAATTTAGTAGCAAAAACAGATACATTACAATGTAGGTCAATTTAACCCGACAACCTTAGCCATTCCGCATCACATTAATTATCGATAAATATGCTTTTATTTATATTTTTATTGCCTTTAGAAATTTGAATTCCTTTTTAATGTCTTTGGTCAACTCATTCATTTATCTAAGGAGTTTTTTTGATAGAATAAAAAAAAATAAACTATCAGTAATTTTTTATTTTTAACCGTTAAATTTATATTAAAAGTTATATATATATATTTTATATTTTTTTAATTTAATATAATTTTGACATGATTTAACAATTAGAATATGACACTAATAATAGAACTGGCCTATCAGAGAAACTCATTTTATTTTATAGGTAAGGTATGCAATATATTGCTATTTGGAGAAAATATGAAACATCGGGAGCTTACAATCCGACGAAAAAAAAAAAAAAAAAACCGATATAATAAAGGTTAAGGTCTAAGCTGCATGGCTGAGCCAGAAAATTAAGTCAGAGGATACGACGTGTATTAAAAATTTCATCAAATTTTACACAAATTTTTAAAAAAATAAATAAATTGAGACAGTGCACCTACCCTATGACACCATGTGGATGTGCCCTTCTAATCGGCTATATCCCTTAAATTTTTACTAACATTTTATGATTTAAATTACTTTATTATTATTTATTAGCATTTTACCTTTCGAATTATTTCCATAGACACTAAGAAATCTTTAATACTGTTCATTAGCATTTTGTCTTCCGATTGAAAAGTTGATGTTATTCAATTTAACCAACAAATTGTTACTCGTATAGAAAGTTAACTAATCGGACAAGGGTACATCAACCTCGACTCTCATATGTTAAAAAATCAAACTTTCCAACATCCTATTAATTTAGAGATCGGTCACGAGACGATGACTGTGATTGCAAATAAAGGCCATGCACGTATCTATAACGATAAAGGGCGGCTGAGTTCTATCGAAAAGGAGATTATGGTCCGTTTAGTTACTGATTCAATTTTTTAATTTGAGTTGAGATGCGATTTTATGTGAGAGCTTTTTACTGTAACAAAATTCAAATTAACGGTCCATCACGCTTATAAAACAACCTTTATTTCATTTTCTTATTATGTATATGGAATTACTGTGTTTATCAATCTTTTCGGTGTCGACCTATTTACTGTTAAGTTAAACAACCATAATTTAATCCACTTTTGAATTAGGGAAAAATTATAATAAAAAATAATTCAGTATTTATAGTGCTTGCACAATATTTTTGGGGCGTGGGGGTCGGGACAGGGGGTTAATGAAAAATAATTTTTAGATTTTTAGTGCTTTAAGAAAGTAATTTAGTGAACAAAGTCCTAGACAAACAAAAATTCGGACGGGTGGGTGTCGATTAATATGAGGTACTTTTACTTAAGAAATTACTTTTAAGAAAAAAAGTTTTTCTCATTTTTTTTTTTTTTTTTTTTTGCTAATCAATATATCCCTCTTTTAATACGTATTGTTTTTACATATGTTTCAAGTACGTTCGTGCGTGGTTTCACCAACCATAATGATTAGCACCGATTTAGGTGTTGTTGCGTTACGAATTTGAGTTGAGATGTAAAATTTTTTAGAGTTTTTAACTATAATAAAAAAAATTAAATGTGATATTTTATGAAAATTTTTAATTATAAAAATTTATAATTAAAAATTTAAATTTGTGAAATAAATGAGACCTTAATATTACAGTAAAAAGCTATCAGAAACAGTCACATTTATTTTTTTTTTGCTATAATAAAAAATTCTCACATAAAATTACATATAAACTCAAATTAAAAATTCAAAGCTATAATAGTGCAGTGAAGCTGGTGAGAAGAAGGAGAAACAATCTGTCACCAACTCACCCTAAATACCAGTTTTCTGTTTTCATTCTTATCCTTCTCTTTCCAACTTGGATGCTTACATCTCATTTTAATTTTATTTGTTTTCTTACACAGAGATGGAGGATTTTAACAAGTCCCTTAAAAATGAGTCAACCCTTAAAATCAGCATTCATTTTTGCTAAACTAAGATATTCATTGTTGGTACCAACAGAAACAAGAACTACCCCCTTCAAGATTTAGAGAGAGAGAATGCCACGAGAGTTTCCGTTACATAGTTATTGACTCACACATATATAAGGGAATGCTTATTTAGGGGTGAAACTGAAAATATAAATAAATTATATTATGATTAATCTCAATGTTGTCTACTGAATTTTTGAATTATTCTCACTTTGTCCTCATAAATTTTGAAAGCTATAATTTTGCTTTTAAAATTTTGAATTTGTCATGTTTAAGCTTTTTTACTAGAATTTTTGTTAAAATCAAACAAAAAAAAGTAAGAATTAAGTATGACTGTGTAATTTTTATCTGATTTTCTTTAAGAGAAATTCAATAGAAAAACCACTTAATTACTTTATTTTTTTTTTCTATCCGTTTTTAATAAAAATTACAATAAAAGAGATTAATGAGAATAATTTAAAATTTTTAAAAAAATAAAAGTAAAAATTTTAAAAATTTAAGAGACAAATTAAAAATAAATCTAAAATTCAAGACATCGTCGAAATTAAAAATAAGAAAGGAAAGACCAAAAGATTAGTGTTTGCTTTGCTCTCTCTCTCTTAAAAGTTAAGCCTCATTCATTTAATCGATTTGAATTTTCAGTTTTAAATTTTTACAGTAAAAAATTTTTAAAAAATATCACATCTAACTTTTTTATTATAATAAAAAAATTTTAAAAAATATTACATTTCAATTCAAATTAAAAACTTAAATTCATTGAATAAACAAGGCCTTAATATCCTTAAGATGACAAAACGGTCGCTCTCAGAAGTAAACGACCAACTCGTTTCCTGATACGCATGACGCGTACAACTTTGACTGATGCGCGTTATTATTTATTTGTTTAAACCGATTGTACTCGCGAGGCATGGCTGAGGCATGGCTGATATCAGGACAGACTCGCACTTTGGGGGCCACCGTCCAAAATGCCATACAAACAACACTACGAATACCAATAAAAAAAAAGACTCTCATTTAAAAAAAAAAAATTGTTTGACTACTTAAAAAAATCTTTAAAATAAAAATAAAAAATTTCGAAGAAGAAAAAAGAAAAAGAAAAAAGAAATAGTTGCCACCTTTTCTTTTCGTGCTAGAAGGTGTAATGGCTAAGTTTTGTGGGGCTAGCTAGGCTAGAAATGGAAGAGTAATAATTAAGAAATTGAATGTATAAGAAAACGTTTTATTCAAAACTAACCAAAAAAGAAAAAGAAAAAAAAAGGTGTGGAAAGAAAAGAGGTAAAGCGGCGTCGTAAAGGTGCGGGATTGGCTGAACTAAACTTTTTTTTTTTTGGACCTAAACATAGCTAATGAACTGTTAAAAAAAAAAAAAAAAAAAAAAAAAACATAGCTAATGAAGTGGGGAATATAGAATATACCGGTGAATATTTTGGGATTCTTTACGTGAACCTTCGTTGCTTATAAATTCTTAATTGTGTGTCCTCTTTTTTTCCCACGACCATTCTATTTCATCTTCTTTCTCTCCTTGTCCATTTTTCACCTTCTTTTTCTCTTAATACCCTTTTTTCTCCTTTATATTGAAACATTACCATCAACAACAAAGAAAAGAGGAAAAGGAGAGGAAACAAAAAAAGGTTAGTGTCACTATTTTCCTATTACATAACATAACGTGCTAGTTTTTGTTTTGTTTTGTTTGTTTTATTAGATTCTTGTTTTTCTTTTCTTCTTTCTTTCTTGAAGTCATTATAGTTTTGTAAATGTTCTTCATCATTGTTCTTTTAGAGGCATTGGCATTCACATACAATCTCCAGAAACTCTTGGGCGTTTATTCCTCTTTGTTAGTGGAATCCTGAAAGATCATATTCCTTTTCTCTTTTTTTTTTTCCTTTTTGGGATTTATGTGGTTTTTTTTTTCTTTTGTGGCATTAATCAATCATAAAGAAATAACATTGAAAAGAAGTAATGTACAACTTCATGATAATTAAGTGGACGTTTGATTCACAAATTCAGAGCGATGATTCAGAATTATTCTCAGTCTACGTGTTTTTTTTTAGAGAATACACTATAACAAGCTATAACTATGATACGAATCCTTATACCAAACACCCTCATATTTTGTGTGTGCTTGTCTTTCCATATGTTTGTAATCAATTTTCTCTTTGTATTGCAATTCATGAAAACTTTTAGCTTTTTTTTTTTCTTTCTTTTTTTCGCGAGAACCAGAGTTGATAAAATATTTCGTATTAAAACATGAATTTAATATACGGATTGAGGTAAAGCTGCGTCCGAATATATTGCCTTGGTTAACGGGAAGTAATTCATTCATAGCAATTTAGGAAAAAAAGTTGAGAATAATATTCTTGGCCATGATTCTTGGATCTGCACCTACCTATTTTCAAATCGTATGGCATTTAATGCTCTTTTATCTATTTTTTTTATGTTGAATTGTTATTTATCTGTTTTTCTTTTTAATATTTTTCAAATTTCCATTTTAGGAATGATCTTTGGTGAACTACTCTCTGTTCTGGTTCCTTTAATTTCGATGGTTCAACAACCCCTAGGAAACTATCTTGCTTAGCTAATTTTACACAAATTTTTATTCCATTTTTATCACAAGAATTATTGTAAATACTGAATTCCAGCCTCATAATACTTTTATGTATAATTTTTTTCCCAGCTAATTCAAGCGAATGGTAGGTTGGGAAGATTGATTCCTAATGTAATTATGTGTAAGTGGTAGATTTCCCAAATTGGTGTGTATTAACGTGTCATTTCACGGTTTTGCTATGTGTTGTAGGCCTCGTTCACTTCGAAGATTCGAGTTGAGATGTGATATTTTTTGAAAATTTTTAACTGTAGCAGAAAAAATTAAATGTGATATTTTTTAAAAATTTTTTACTGTAAAAACTTAAAATTAAAAACCTGAATCGGTCAAATGAACGAGACCGTAGTGCACATTTAATCGTTACAGAATTTTTTATTTAAAGGAATAAAATAAATCACGGATTTTGTCCTTTCTTTCAACTTTTCCTTTACTTAAGGGAGGGTTTGACTCTTTGAAAATTTTATTTTTATTTTTATTTTTTGGATTGGATTTGAAAGATATTTACGCCTTTTAACAACTAATGAGTTTTGTCCTATTCGTGTGCAAGTTTTTTGCCCATTTTATTTGCATGGAAGTTACATTTGTTGGCTTCAATTTCTGTTTTATTTATTTTTTAATTGTTATCTTTTGCTGAAAGCCTCATATTGGTTTAACCCGTAGAAAGTGCATCTGCTGCCTAGTGGACCCCAATATCTTCCAAATTATTAAACAAGAAAAGAGAAAATTGAATTTGGGGGACCAACCATATCATGAGTTGACTCAACTACCCACTTAATTTGAAAATATAGTCATAATTTGTGCATAAATAATTGAAGGGCATTTTGGTAAGTCAAAAATGCTTACTTCCCCCCTCCCCCAACAGTTGTATGGTCCTTGGGTTGCACTTTGATTAGTTGAAAACTAATGAAAATTGAGCATCGACTTTGAACTATATAATAACGATGTCTAACGTTACACATTAATAAAAAGTGAATATTATATCCTAACTTTTATAAATAGATTTACTCTGCTTATTTATAAATAGATTTATCTCGTGTTGTTGGATAGCACGGGTGTCCCAAGTATTTTTATGTTTTTTTTTTTCTCATACTAAATTAGAAGGACAAAAAAAAAAAAAAAGAATTACCTTGTTGTTTTTGTTATTATTAATTTTTAACTAAATCATCTTTTTATTGGATTCACCAATTCTTACTCTACATTTTTTTCCATCTTTTGCAGAGAGGAGAAAAAAGAAGGGGGAAAAAAGACCTTGTGAGCTAGCCAGTCATGGCGGGTGATCAACTTCAGGTTCTAAACGCCCTAGACGTGGCGAAAACACAATGGTACCATTTCACCGCCATCATCATCGCCGGAATGGGCTTCTTCACCGACGCTTACGACCTCTTCTGCATTTCCCTCGTCACCAAACTCCTCGGCCGCATATACTACCACGTCGACGGCTCCGAAAAGCCCGGAACTCTCCCTCCCAACGTCTCCGCCGCTGTCAACGGTGTCGCCTTCTGCGGAACACTCGCCGGTCAGCTCTTCTTCGGTTGGCTCGGCGACAAGATGGGCCGAAAACGAGTCTACGGAATGACCCTCATGCTCATGGTCATTTGCTCTGTCGCTTCAGGTCTTTCCTTCGGACACAACACCAAGTCCGTCATGGCCACACTCTGCTTCTTCCGGTTCTGGCTCGGCTTCGGCATCGGCGGGGACTACCCTCTCTCCGCCACCATCATGTCCGAGTACGCAAACAAGAAGACTCGCGGCGCATTCATCGCTGCTGTGTTTGCCATGCAAGGGTTTGGGATTTTGGCCGGCGGCTTGTTCGCCATCATCGTTTCGGCTTCGTTTAAAGCGAGATTCGACGCGCCGGCGTACGAGTTCGACCCCGTTGGATCGACTGTTCCGCAGGCTGATTTCGTCTGGAGGATCATTCTAATGGTCGGAGCTCTCCCTGCCGGGTTGACGTACTATTGGAGGATGAAAATGCCAGAAACTGCTCGTTACACGGCTCTTGTGGCTAAAGATGCGAAGCAGGCGGCTTCCGACATGGCGAAAGTTTTGCAGGTTGAGATCGAGGCTGAGCAGCAGAAAGTTGAGCAGATGTCTAGGAAACCTGCCAACTCTTTTGGGTTGTTTTCTAAGGAGTTTTTGAGGAGACATGGGCTTCACTTGCTTGGGACGACAAGTACTTGGTTCTTGCTTGACATTGCGTTCTACAGTCAAAATCTGTTCCAAAAGGACATCTTTAGTGCAATTGGTTGGATTCCTTCTTCTAAGACCATGAACGCTCTTGAAGAGGTTTACAGAATCGCCAGGGCTCAAACTCTTATTGCTCTTTGCAGCACCGTTCCTGGCTATTGGTTCACGGTGTTCTTCATTGACAAGATTGGGAGATTCGCTATCCAATTGATGGGGTTCTTCTTCATGACTGTCTTCATGTTTGCCCTCGCAATTCCTTACGATCACTGGACTCATAGGGACCACAGATTCGGGTTCGTCGCGATGTACTCGTTGACCTTCTTCTTCGCGAACTTCGGGCCTAATGCGACCACTTTCGTTGTGCCGGCCGAGATCTTCCCGGCCAGGCTAAGGTCCACTTGCCATGGCATCTCTGCGGCGTCGGGGAAGCTCGGGGCGATGGTGGGCGCGTTCGGGTTCTTGTATTTGGCTCAGAACAAGGACAAGGCCAAGACGGATGCAGGGTACCCTGCTGGGATTGGGGTGAGGAATTCGCTCCTTGTGTTGGGGGTGGTCAACTTTTTGGGCATGATTTTCACTTTCTTGGTACCTGAATCCAAAGGAAGATCATTGGAGGAAATGTCAGGCGAGAATGAAGATGAAAATGCTGAAGAAGTGGAGCTGGAACAACAATCTGGTTATAACAATAGGAAAGTTCCGGTTTAGGCTTTCGGCCATTTGTGTAAGAAAGAGTTAGTTTTTAGTGGAATGCTCTAAGGCCCCCTTTTTTTTTTTGTTTTTTTTTTTTTAATGTTCCAGTGAATCTTACATTTGTTATGATGCTCTATAATTTGCAAAATATAGCAAATGTAGCTATTACCAGTTTTACATCAAGTCTCAAATAATTTTTCACTGCTCTGCCCTGAAGTTCCACTTCAGCCGATTTTTGAAAATAATGTTCTAAAACATCTACTTTCTTGTTTGGTATGAGACTGAAGTCTAGTTTGTAGTCTTTCATCATACTTTTTCTTTAATTTCCCCAAAAATTGTCTGACTAAAGGGGGGGGCCCACATTTGATTGCAAAAGTCATGTAAAGGTCAAAACGAAAGGTGAATCAGGACCATTACCACGGACAGTTCAGTGAGTTTAATGCTACTATATTATCCAGTTTCAACAGATTTGACTTTCGACCTTGATTTCGCTTTTGAAAAACACTTCGTAGAAAAACCTGATTTTTAAGATATTTGAAATCCACCTGCGTGTGAAGTCGTTTACCTGGCTTGTAGTTATGAAGAGTTTGAAATTCATCCCTTGCATTTCATGAATGGAATACAAAAGTATTTCTCTTTTATTGTACGATTTCATATGTGAAGATATATTATTGTTTGACCAGGTGTTACCTTGACATCATTAGCCATTATAGATTAGATAAATTTTATAATGGATAAATTATAGTCTTTGAGGACATGGTGATCTACTATAGTGTAGTGATTCTGTTTGCTGTTAAGAAATATGAAAAGAAAAAACAACGCTCGAATCTCAGCACGTTTTACTGTTATTCGCATGTGAACATGGTTTTCTAACTTATTAATTGTTTTCTTCTTGTTTTATGAAGTATGAATTGCACGAAAAACTGCATACAACTTTGTATTCCATTTCACAGAAATTGAAGATATGGCACTACTTAACCATTAATGAATTAAATCCAATCCAAGTCTGTCTCTTTTCTCGAACAATAGAAGCTTAACATAAAAAAAAAAAAAAAAAAAAAAAAAAGAGACAACACATGAACAAAACGACAACATTCAAGTAATGACAATAGAAACGACAGTAAGCTGAAGAACACTAATAAACAACAAGTAGTTCGAGGCCAAAACAGTTTCCGCATCATGATCAATCAAGAGAAGGTCAAGCAATACAAGTTAAAGAGTTTTCTCATAGTTGAGTTTTCTGCTTGTGTAAAGAACAATTCTAGTCATGTGATCTCTGAAGTTTCTTTTGAGTGTTTTGAAATTGGTGTCTTGATTTTATAATATGGCTAGTACATGTAGAATTATATAGTACCTTGAGATTGCATAAAAGTAATAATACATCTGAGAAGAAAAAAAAAAAAACTCAATATTTTCAGCGACTAGAAAACATTAGCCCAACTTTCACAATTCACACCATTCCCACATGCTAGTTTATTCAACAGATGGGCAAAATACAACCTCACAATGTGATCTATAAGAAGCAACAGGTAGAATTAACTGACAGCAATCAGAGAATTCTGTGGTTATAGAGGAGGAAATGTTCAAACTGAAGAGACCAGTTCAGTTTGCTCGTTCTCTAAGCACTTCGAGATCCATTTCTGTGGGATCGGTTGCCTGAATCTCATAGTGGATGCCATCCAGCTCCCTTCTAAACCTGTCCTTGGATGTGGCGTAGAGCATCTTGGAACGAACTCCTGCCGTTGAAGGGGACCTTATCAAATTGGTACGAAGAGCAAAGTCAATTGAAATGAAAGATATTTGAAACATATATATCATCGGAAACGATGCATCTGCGAAAGGTAAAATATGGAAGTTGAGGAAATGCAAAAACAAAACCAATGTTAAGGCCAAACTTTGATCCTTCACTAATTATCTGTCGAGGGCAATAAGTGAAAATCGAGGAATTGCAAACAGAAACAAATTTTATGGCCAAACTTTGATCCTTCACTAATTATCTGTGGAAGGCCACATGAAAGTTGAGAAAACACAAACGGAAAACCAATGTTAAGGTCAAATTTTGATCCTTCAGAAAATATCTGTGAAAGGCAATATGAAAGTTAAGGAAATGCAAACACAAAACCAATGCTCAGGCGAAACTTTTGATCCATTAAAAATTATCTGTGAAGTGCAACAAAAAAGTTGAAGAAATGCAAACAGAAAACCAATGTTAAGGCCAAACTTTGATCCTTCACAAATATCTGTGAAGGGCAATAAGAAATTTGTAGAAATGCAAATAGAAAACCAATGTTCAGGCACAATTTTGATCCTTCTCTAATTATCTGTTGTTAATAAAAATAACTCTATCTTGATAAGACTGATTCTTAAGTAAGTTAGTTAGTAACGGATTAGGACAACAACCACTGACTTATATTTAACTAACCATGAGTGGTTAGAAGTCTAACTCTGATTAAGTCATTTAGTTAGTTTATTGTATTTGTATTATAAATAGGCTGAGTCATTAAGTTTTATTTATTCTAAAAAAAGTCATAGCAAGATATTGTGTAATTCTCTAGAGATTGAATTCTTGGTGAGAGAACAAGAGAGAGATTGTGAGTTTCGGGTTTTTGCTCTGGGTTTTGAGAGCTTGTATTCTGAGAGAGAGACTTATCTCTGTAATTGTGCTGTGAGATTTTAGAAGGTGTAATCGTTCTTGTTTCTGATAGTGGATCTGTTGGGGAATTTTCCCTAGATGTAGGATTTTCTCAAGAAAATCCGAACCAAGTAAATTGTTTGTGTCTCGATTTTTCTCTGTTCATAATTTTTGGTAGAAGTTTGGTCTGGTAAATTCACATCTGCGAAGGGCAATATGAAAGTTGAGGAAATGCAAGCAGAAAGCCAATGTCAGGGCCAAACTTTGATTCTTCACAAATGTGAATGCTTGAAACAATAGCCTCTAACAATAACATCATAAACAAAGAGTATTGGTCAAGAGTTTAAAGCTAACCATGCAATGAAGAATATTTTGCTCTTTTGACAGTTCTCAGAGGTCACAAAATCGAAGTCATAAACAGCATATCGGCAATCATTCTCAGGTAAAGCTGCAGTGAAATCGTCGTAACTCTCGGCTGGACCACCAGTCTTTTCAACCAAAATTTCTCTTTTCTTCTCATCAACCTTGAAGATCACATAGCGGTGAACCTTCTTCCTCTGCAGTTCCATGAACGCGTTTTTGCCGTGATCGGCAACGCCCATGCCAGATGAAGCATTTGGCTGCATAACACAACCAGTTTGCGCTCAAAACACAATTCCATCAAAACCAATCTCCCAAACATAACAATGTTATTTATATCACAGTAAGCAAAGTTCGTGAATAACAAAAGTATTTTGAATCAATTTTCCAAAAGGTCTTGTCGTTAAAATCACACGTCCTCATCCATTGAAGAAGGCCTTTTGAATAAATTTTTTTTTTTCAAATAATAAAACATTTCCCTCTTACCAATATTTTTCTCTTAGTATCTCTATCAACTCTTACCAAAGAAACAGAGATCATCATGAACCAGTGATTGCTAAAAAAATGTGACCATTACATTACTAAGGAAGCAAAAAGCAAAATCCTCCGGCCAATCTCGCCAAATATACAAATATAAAAACAAGTGGCCTAGATCTTTAACAACTAAATCTTCCAAATATAATGTGTCTGCAGTAAAAGCAGAACCTTTGGAAGATTAAAAAGAATAAAAAAACAGCTTTTGTTTCGTACATATAAAATCATGATCTAGAAGCAAACATAACTAAACAAATCCAACAACCAAAAAACAAAGAAAGATAAAATAAAAATACAAAATCAAATCAAAAGAGACGAAAAGAAAGAAGAGAATACCCGACTAAGCCATCTGAAAGACATGGCGGCGACCAAGAAAGTTTTGAGTTGAGATGGTGATGAGAAATGGCAGAATGAGAAGATAAGAGCAAAGTAGAAGAATTAGGAAGACTGAGCGGTGGCCTTGGTGGGTAAGTATTGCACGGAATGGCAAATTATGGGGAACCAGAAAGACAGAAAACACAGGAGGGATGGTACCAAACAAACGAACAAAAAACAACACGATCACAAAATATTCCCTTACTTTATTATCTTGCTTCTTTTCTTTTTTTTCCTTTTTTTTTTTTTCCTTTTTCTGGGTGGCTAAAAGGAGAAAATAACAAAAGGTGGAAGCTTCGTATTGTAAGGAGAGAAAAATACACCTATTTAATACTGGCTAAACACTGCCTAGCGCTATGCAAAAAATGGTAATGTCATTTTTTCTTGTCATTTTTTATACTTACGGTTTGATTTATAAACTGCATTATCTTATTTTTTTTATTTAGATAATAATATATCAGGTTAATAAAGTTTATATATTAAATATTAAATGTTATAAAGGAATATGAGAGTGATAAATACGCTATCATTTGTATTCTCTTATTTTTATAATTCTCATACTCTGTTCATTTTACCGATTTGAGTTTATAATTTGAGTTTTGTTATAGTAAAAAACTCTCAGAAACAATCACATTTAACTTTTTTTATTATAATAAAAAAATTTCACATAAAATCACATCTCAACTCAAATTAAAAATTTAAATCAACGAATTAAACGGATCTCAAAAGCCGAAAATGACATGGCGTGGTAACCGTTAACAAGCAACAATTTATGGACCCTAGAGTTTTTACCCCCTCTGGGACTTTAGATTTTCACACTAAGACTAAAAAAAATAATTTATCGGAACTACATATAGATATATATTTTCATTTTGATGTGTGAGGAGCTTTCTTTTTTTGGAATTTCTTTAAAGTCGCTGACACAGCCACGTTGCCATGATTCGCAGAATAGATCGTCCAAATGTGCATCAAATAACAGAAAAAATATGTGCAACTTTCCGAAAATAATAAATAAATGGGAAGTACAATACAATGAACATCTAAGAGGTGGCTAACGAAATACATATTTTTCCTTTTTTTTCTTTAATTAATTTATAAGGTTCTTTGAATGAGCAAATTTTTGAAAAATTCCCATAATCATCTTCCTTTAAATGGTAGTTTGTTACGGGTTTGATTGTTTTTCCACAGCGAGCAATTCTAATCATCAAGAGCCTTTTTAATTTATGAATTAGAACTATGATATTAGAATTATTTTTAATTTACGTGTATTTTTTATGAAAAAAATATTGAAACGAATTACGAATCATGATTCGAATCAGAGAACGAATCTTCTAACTAAATGGGCTCCAAATTTAATTGTGGAACCGATATGTCGTACCAAACAATAAAGATCAAACGTTATAGTATGCCTACTTTGATTTTTATTTTATTTTTTTGTTCAATCTAATAAAAAAATGAAGACGAAAATTCAATAAATAAAGAAATAAAGATGAGAAAAGTCGGTGGAGTTTGTGATGTATGACATCTAAAGAGTAAAGACAAGACAAGAAAAGAAAAGGGGGAGGTGCGTTATAGCAACGCAAGGAATCCTTTTTGACTTTGGTAAAGTTGTTATTTTATTGACTCCAACCAGAACCAGAAACCAGGGACCGCGAATCTAATCCCAACCAGCACGTGTAGCCTAGCTAAGTGCGCACTGGAGTGGACTGAGAACCCTACCAATTCTTCAAGCATGTTTGGTTAGAAGATTTGTGATATTTAGTAGATGAATTCATTCCCTGATTTAAATCATAGTTCGTGATTCGTTACAGTATTTTTTCTCATAAAAAATATACGTAAATTGAAAATAGTTCTAATCACATGGTTCTAATCCATAAACCAAACGCACTCTTAAATTATGATTTGAATTATAGTTCATGATTCGTTACAGTATTTTCTCTCATAAAAAATACACGTAAATTAAAAACAGTTCTAATCATATGATTCTAATACATAAACCAAATGTCTCATTCATCTTTTTCTCTCAAATGAAAACGGGAGCCTCTGCTATAAGACTCTTTTAAAAAAAAAACTTATCAATATAATATTCTAAATGTTAAATTAAGTTATTAACGGTTAGATTTGTACGTATTCATCTTAAAATTTTATTACGCGTTGTATAAAATTATTCTCTTTACAAATTTAATTGTTAAAAAAATAATTTAATAGTCAAAACAGAGTGTTCTACTAGTGATTTTTTAAGAGATCTCATGTAAAAAAAAAACCGATAAAAAAATAAAAAAATATTTAGGATACCACTAGTATTAAAAACTATTACCAATAGCAAGTATGTTCCACATATAAAGTCTATTCAAAAGAGCTTTTTAAACGCTGCTTCTGGCTCAATTTGGTATTACTTTTCCTTTCCAAAATCAGCTTCTACTTATAGCAGAAACTGATTTTAGTATTTGGTAAATCTCCTCAAAAGTGTTTTTTGAAGAATTTTTCAAGAATCTACAACCAAAATCAGAAACAGTCTAAAGACAATTTTAACTTTTAGATTGTGCGGGAATCAATATAGTACAATTAATAAAACTTTCACAATACCGCTAATGAAATTTAAAATTTATAATATTCTCAATCTAAAATTTAGACTCATAATACAATATAATATAATATAATATCATAATTATATTAATAACTATAATATTATTATTTTACCATATAATATGATATTATAATAATATTATAATTATTTTAATAATATGATATTATAATTATAATATGATATTGTAATTATTATTTT